TAAATAAGCACTAAGTACAAACAATACCAGGCGGTTTAGCAAGAACCCCTGCTTCTTCCGCATTGGCGACTCCGCAACCTGTGCCCTCAGAGTCGTATATGTCGTTTTGGCAACGACGCCAGAAGCACTGGCACCGAACGGAGTTGACACTAATGTTCAGGGGAACGGACTACCTCCGGGTTCAAATCTATAGACGAATTTATACCGGCGCAAGCTTCGATACTAGTGATTTCCAAAAGCTAGGTTTTGAAGTGTGAGAGGGGCTCCATATTCAGGGTAGCATCGTTGTTGACACGCATAGGAAGTCGTACTTTTTCTCTGGGAGGAGGGTCGTATTTGGTCGTTGGGAGAGGGGGGGTCGTATGTGCCTTTGAGAGGAATTTGTCGCGTTGGTTTCCGGTTGTTGACTTTTCGCGTGATTTTTTTGTTTCATGTGCACTATATACCCCACCCCCGCTCAACCGAAATTTTTTGGGTGAAACTGGAAAATGGGGGAAATTTGTAGGTAGGTGAAGGGGAAGGGGAGGGGGGTCGTACTGACACCCTCTCTCGGAGGGGGGGGGGTCGTACCCACACCACCACCTCACCCATCACGATGGTTCGTATTTGGATGTAGCGTCACTCTGATGAAGCTTGCGAATAGAAAGTCTTTTACCGTGTCTTTTATCTCGATGTTTCCAATACAAGTGGTCAGATTGTCTGGAATGCCCCTTTCAGGGGTGCGCCTCATGGTCAGTGGTTGAGATAAGATTAATTTCTTCACACTGGATTTGCTTTCAGGAACTTCACATTAGCTGCAAACGCCAACTTCTACAGTCTCTCGACTTCTTCAATAGCGTCGGCCGTTCACATTCCAACTCCCCTCTATGACAGAAGTAAGACCAACGTTTGCAAACTGGCAGAAAGTTATACTTATAACTGAAATTTGAGTATCTTCCCAAATTCCAATATCAGACTATTCCAATAGGGGAAGCATTTGAAAACCGAATCGGTATAGAAAGCCCTGTTGAGTTTCCATAGTAAATTTCTATTATGTTTAGGCGAAAGGGTAAGGTACAATTTCCACACGTTCCTTCCAAAATGGTCAAAAAGTTTAGTCAGCTAATATTTTTTAGCAATCACCTTGATCAACGTGATTTACCCGTTTCCGGGCATTTGCAGCACATCCTAGAAAATACACGATCACTGGTGGTAATATGTAGTATACATAAGGGCACGTCGTACGGTGGGGATCCCCAGTGAAGGGGTTCTATTTGGTCACTTCTGAAAGGAGGGTCGCACCTGCCCCTGGTCGACATCGGTTAATGAGTTCACCAGGTTTTTTCTAGTTCAGATGGCGTTAGGGCTACTTTTCTGCCCTCTCCCCAGCTCGATGATAGTTTCCGGGGATGAGGAAAGTTGAGGGATTTCGCAGTGATCACAGTGATAGAGGGAAGGGTGACGGAGAGAAAAGTGGGGTCTACTAGAGGAGGAATGTTTTAGGGGGCGTACTTCATTCCAGTTGT